AAGTATACATTTAGAATTAGGATAAAGGTTAAAAGTTTAAGCAAAACTGAAAGTAGATTTTTAGAAAAAACTATTGATTTGGTATTTATTTGGTAAAAAAAAACATTGAAATGCACACGTATTTAACTTAATTTCAGTCTCTTTTAATCTCCTCTACAACATCACTCAGTATGGAAATGGGAGGTACTTGGGCTGATAAGGAGTACTGAATTCACATGTGCTGAATAGGGAGATGTTGACAGGTGGGTAGTGCAGGGAGATGACCGTATATATCTGTCACTGCTTCTTCACTGTTCAGTCACTGGCTATGGGTCAGGACAGTCTTAGGAAGCTCATATATGAGTCAGTTTTTCTTATTCAACCATTCAATGTGGATGAGGGAATCCCACGCCCCCCCGTGCTATTGTATTCTCACCATCAGAATACACTGATCAGCACTGCTGACTATAGCCTGCAGTGCGGATTAAGTCTGGAAAAGCCAATAGGGCAGTTGTACAGTAGTTGATCAATAGATCCACTTCTGTACAACCAGGGGCATATTTTCCACAAGGCAAACAAGGCACTTGCCTAGGGCGGCATTTTTCAGGGGGGCAGCACCTCCCCCCAGAAGAAGGGATGAAAGAAGGGACAGGTGCTCCATGGGAACCAAGTGGGATCCGAGAGAGGCTGCGGGCTGCTTAATGGTGTATGCAGAACCTGACTCTTATTCCCGGGGATATCCGGAGATGAAGATAAGTGTCTTTCTCTCTAACACGGGGGGAGGTAGTGGAAGGCTCTCCCAGGTGGGGGGCAGGGGTGTTGCTGGTCAATGTAAGGCTTTCTCCACGAGAGGGGGGGGGTTGGTCTTGGTCGGTGTCCGTGGGGGCGGGCGATTTTCGTGCTGCCTAGGGCAGCACAAAACCTAGATACACCAATGTGTACAACCACCCTGTCTATGCATGGATTGAAATTCAGCTGGTTGCTGCTGAAACAGCAGAATTTCAATCCATGTATGGCTAGATTAAAGTGATTCTACAGTTTTGTTTTTTTTAAGAGCCGCTGCACACAGAAGGTTATAGAACCATGAGCCTTTAGAACCACTTTAAGCTTTGATGCTTAACTGCAACATAGAAAACCAGGTCACCAGGCAGGATTGTGTAAATACCAGACATACAAATCCTTTGGATAGAAAGTAGGTACAATATATGTATTTCAATGGTGAAATTGATTGTTTGCCTTCAGCTTTAAGGTGTTATTTTAAGAAATGATTAGAGTGGTTCTAACTCCAGAATTATTTTACCTTAATGCATTCTCTGCATTAGGGTAATAAACCTTCTGCATGCAGCTTCCCCCACCAGCCCCTCTTATACTTACCTGAACCCTATCTTGATCCAGCCATGGGCAAGGGAGCAGAGGCTTCCTCAGCTCTCTGCCTCCTCTTTGGCTCAGACACAACAGTGGGAGCCACTGGCTCCCACTGCTGTTAATTACAGCCTGTGAGCAAGGAATGGGGGGTGGAGTTGAGACCACTCTGTGTGTCTTATGGATACACAGAGCAGGGGTTGGGAGAGAGCTCACATGAGTGCTCTCATAGCAAGCAGCTTGCTGTGGTTGGCACTTGGCAGGGGAGGGACCAAAAGTGCCAGCGTTGGACCAGAGATTAAGAAGATCAGGGCTGCTCTGTGTAAAACCATTACACAGAGCAGGTGAGTACGACATGTTTGTTATTTTTTTTTTTAAAAATTTAAACCTTTACAAGCACTTTAAGTGTGTGTTCAGGATGGCGGAGGGGTTTTAGTGTTGAGGGGTGCTTACTGCAAGAGAAACTTTCTTTAAAGAAATGAGAGGAGGGAGGGCAGAGGGGAGGCCCAAGATTTTTAATGTATACTCAACGACACCCCACACCAAAAAACAACTGCACAAGACTTCCAGCCCTGAGAACAGCTGAATTCAGTGGAAGAATATATTTGCAAACTAGATTTGTTAGCATATGTTTTGCCCATTTATTTACACTGACACTCCAAAGCTGTCGAATTTCAAAGTCATCTTTAGTACATCCATAGATACTGATTTTCATTGGCTAGTGATTTATTGACTCTAAATTTTGTACTTTTAACTGTTTAAATCTTTAAAACACAGTTGGAAATTCTAAACACAGGTGTAGTTAAATTCAAGCATATGAAACATTATAGGAATACTAATATGAACTCATACTAAACTACTACCTTAAAATTACCAAGCATCACCTGTTCTGCTGCCAAATAAGACTGCCATAAAAATCAATACTGTAGGCTAAGTTGATATATGCTTGAACTTTTAACTTCAACAGATCATCATTTTACTCTGTGCTGGCAAAAACGACCACATTTAAAAATGAAACCTTCCAGATTCAAGTATTCCTCATCTTCTATGCAGAGCTGATGGTTGGTGTTGTAAGGACAAAATGATGCAGCCAAACACAGCACATCTCTGGACTGCAGATGCCCTAAAGCTGTGCCAATTTCATCATGTGTGAATGGTCAGTCTGAGAAGTGTTGGATGGAGATAAAGAGAATGTAGAATGGTTTCTGAGATAGAAATCTGGAATGCTGGCAGGGCTTCCCTGGTTTCCACCAAGTTGGCAACAGAAAGGACGAAAAAACTCAGCAAGCTTGAACACTGACATAATGCAGCTGATAAATACTGACACTCTCCGTTGGTGTAAAGAAACACAATGAACTCTTCTTACTTTGTAAAAGTTGATTTACTTCAACACCTTTTCTTTACTTGTTGAAAATGCTGCTGTAAAAAGTCTAAATCATTATAGTCGATAACGATATATTGGTTAATTTATCAGGAGAAAAACACAAACTGGGCATACTTGTCACTGGGATGGCCCAGCATTTTTTTTTGTGTTGGTGCACTAACCAGTCAGTGTGCCCTTCTTAGTCAAAGCGTATGTCCAGCTAAAACATTTTTTATTAATTTTGGATAGAACCTTCTGTCAACATTCATTAATGGCTGGTGCTCAGTGAACACATTGGGGTTGATTTACTAAACCTGGAGAGTGCAAAATCTGGTGCAGCACCGCATAGAAACTGATCAGCTTCCAGTTTTTTTTCATCAAAAGTTAATTGAACAAGCTGAAGTTGAAGCTCATTCGCTACCATGCACAGCTGCACCAGATTATGCACTTTCCAAATTTAGTAAAGCAACCCATTTCTGTCCTGCTAACAATCTCCTACCAAACAAAGAGTAAGAGCAACTCTCCAACAACAACCAAAATAGAAAAAAAATCCTCTTAAGTAGATTTGGGTACTGATAGAACCCCTGTCAGATTTTTTTTTTCTGTTTGTATTCCTGTTTCAGGTTTTCCCTTACTTGCTCTCTAGTGAAAGCATAGTCAGCAGGACAGGAAGTGAGGGTAAATCTCTTTACCAGAGATCTGCAGTTTTGGAAAATTAGAGCAAAGTTAGAACGCCTACCCCCGTACCTGTGCCAGTCCAGTTTAAGATATCACTGAAACCAGTGGATCAGTATGTCAGCCAGGGAACTTCTTTTCTGAAGCAGAGGTCAGCAATGGCAGCTTTATTAAGTACTTTCTACCCAAGGGCCATATATGTATTTATATATATATATATATATAGAGAGAGAGAGAGAGAGAGACTCTGCAGCATATATATGGCCTCTGCAGTTGCAACCATGATCCTGGAATTGTTTTTTTCAGCCAGCGTTTGGCTTTCAAGTAAAAGAGATCCAAGCAGCTTTACAGCTGCCTGATCACTTTTGCACTTCTCAAAAGAGGGCCCCCCCTCCCACTGTCACCAAGACTGGGCTTTCACTGTGCGCAGTTGGGTCGGCTGTGCCCAGAGGAGATGGAGAAACATCCCTTCCCAGATCACGTCTGTGATGAATGAAGCTGGAAGCAATGAGGATTTCATCACAGGTTTGTTGTACACTCCCACTGTACCACATTCTAAACATATATAGCAACAGAAAACAATGGAGACCACCAATAGGTGTTTTTCCAGAGCAAAAAATAGACTTTACAGGTACATCATTGGGCACACAAGTTATAATATACAATCATACACTTTTATTACTTATTTTTAAAACTGTTATCCAAAAACACATAAAAACTGTAAAAAGGCAGTCCACATATCAACACCGCCTGAATATATTGTGATTGTGTGCACTAAAATTCATTTAGGTGTATTTTTTCCAGACAAATTTGCATTTGTTAAATGGCCATGCAAATATTGTGTGATATAAAAAATTGCAACAAACACTGTTTTATTCTCCAAGACCTCTTCTTTCAGAAAGCATATGTGGAGAGATTTACTAAAACTGGTGCACTCAGAATCTGGTGCAGATGTGCCTGGTAGCCAATTAGCTTCTAACTTCAGCTTGTTCAATTAAGTTTTGGCAATAAATTCTGGAAGCTGATTGGTTTCTATGCAGAGTCTCAGCAGATTTTGCACACTCCAGTTCTAGTAAATAATATAACTACCGTATTTTTCGCTCCATAAGACGCACTTTTTTTCCCCCCCAAAAAGGGGGGGAAATGTCAGTGCGTCTTATGGAGCGAATATAAAGCGGCCGGTCCGGTATTTCTGCCGCCACCATGTCAGAATACCGGGCCGGCCGCTCAGCTGTTCTTTCCTGCAGGACCTTACCTGTTCCTCGCTCCAGCGCTGCACAGTCTTCCCGCGCTGGCTTCTGTGACAGCCGGGTGCCCACTGCGCATGTGCTGCGCTTTGTGAATGATCCGGTATCTTCTGGGACACATGACAGGTCCCAGAAGGCGCCGGGCCATTCACAAAACGCAGCGCTTCTTGCGCATGCGCAGTGGGCACCCGGCTGTCACAGAAGCCGGCCCGGGAAGAAGGAAAGAAGAACAACTACGCGGAAGTGGGAGCGGGTACCTGTCAAATTCAGGTACCCGCTCCCCCTCCCTCCCCAAAGGTCAGCAGTCTCTTCATTTCTTGCACTGTCTGCAGTCTCTGGTCATCCCCTGCACTGTCTGCAGTCTCTGGTCATTCCCTGTACTGTGTCTGCAGTCTCTGGTCATCCCCTGTACTGTGTCTGCAGTCTCTGGTCATTCCCTGCACTGTGTCTGCAGTCTCTGGTCATTCCCTGCACTGTCTGCAGTCTCTGGTCATCTCCTGTACTGTGTCCGCAGTCTCTGGTCATCTCCTGTACTGTGTCCGCAGTCTCTGGTCATCCCCTGCACTGTCTGCTGTCTCTGGTCATCTCCTGTACTATGTCCGCAGTCTCCGGTCATCTCCTGCACTGTGTCCGCAGTCTCTGGTCATCCCCTGCACTGTGTCTGCAGTCTCTGGTCATCCCCTGCACTGTGGCCGCAGTCTCTGGTCATCCCCTGCACTGTGGCCGCAGTCTCTGGTCATCCCCTGCACTGTGTCCGCAGTCTCTGGTCATCCCCTGCACTGTGTCCGCAGTGTCTGGTCATCCCCTGCACTGTGTCCGCAGTCTCTGGTCATCTCCTGTACTATGTCTGCAGTCTCTGGTCATCTCCTGTACTGTGTCCGCAGTCTCTGGTCATCTCCTGTACTGTCCGCAGTCTCTGGTCATCTCCTGTACTGTGTCCACAGTCTCTGGTCATCCCCTGTACTGTGTCTGCAGTCCATTGGTTCAGAATATTTTTTTTCTTGTTTTTCCCCTCTAAAACCTAGGTGCGTCTTATGGTCAGGTGCATCTTATGGAGCGAAAAATACGGTAAGTAATTGTCTAGCAAAAAACGAAAAATAATTTTAATACACGTGAAAACTTACAGAACTGCCCCAGTAGGCAATCTTTTAGGCCTTGTGCACAAATACTGCAGTGACCCACATTTTATTGCACTGATCAACACAGTATATGTATTCTGTTCACACCACAAGGCTGGTGTGAAGTGCGGTTTGGTGCTTTGCGCTAAAATGCTATATGTGTCTATTTTTACGCGGCACAGTGCATGTAAAAGAACAACACAATACAAACCTACTGAGAGAATAGCTGGTTATTATTTTATTCCTTATACATAACCATAGCAATTTAACACGCATAAAAACATGCTTCAACGCACATAAAAATGGATGTCAATGGGATGCAATACACATTCATTTTTTTCAGCATTTATGTGCATTTTATTGCACGTTTATGTGTAAAAAGACCCTTAAAGCATTTATAAACCCCAAAACAAAAGTGTATTATATTGCAGCTTGCCAATCCTTAGTTGTAGTAACTGCCTTCGTTTTTTTTTCAGGCTAAATAGATTTTCTCAAAGTACAGAAAATACTTGTTAATCTTGACAACGTCATGTGCACTTGTGCACTGAACTGATTTTTATTAATTAATCAATTAAATTAAATGTAAAGCAATAAAAACAATTAAATAAATTAAACAAATAAATTCAATTAAAATGAACAATTAAAATAATTACATTAAAATGAAACAATTTCATCAGCTTTCCAAGCTATCTTTTGCAAACTACAGAGCACCCCCCTATATTATGGAAATCAGGAGGTATTTGTAGCCCATATCAGGTGTGAGCAGCTTAGGGTGACAACGCCATTCATCCATAGATACAGTACAATGAGTATAGCTACCCTAGGTCATTAGGTGTCTTACTGACTGAGTTAACAAGTAATATTAAAGGAAAAAACATCACATTTAAGGACAGGTAAATATATTACATTTTGAGGGGGATTTAGGTTTAGGTTTTTTATGTTTTCATCAAGTACTTCACATGCATGTATTTATTATGATTATGTATCTCCTTTTATTCCAGTAATGTATTTTTTCAAATATCAGTAAATGCATTTTTAAATACTGCATGAATATCCTAAATCTATCTTTTATTATCCTCCCATAATCCCCTGCACATCCTAAGGCCTCTGTCACTTAGCCATTCTGTCTCTGGCAAGTTGCTAAAAGTCCACTCATATTCTCCTCTGGTGTCACTCCCTCACTTACTGCTACAAAAAAATAAAACCTTGTAAATGTGATGTAAAAATATCTTTTGTGCATTTTCCATTTTTTATCCAGGATCACTGACATTTCCTGTCTCTATAATAAAAGCTGAAATGCATTACAGTGAATGAACAATTTTTATCATAACCACAGATGAACTGTTTCATAATGCTGATTTGATTTAAACGTTATTTTAGAACTTAAAAACAACCAAGTGTGCGTCAAATCACTGCTGTATGTTTAGTATTAAACTGTTTCTATATCAGATGAGACACTGGCTGTTTGAAGTTCCATTTCTGTTTTTGATATTTTTAGACTGTTTGGTGATTTACTTAAATGACTCAGATCGCAGTCCAGTTCTGCTATGTGAATAATTTCAGGCAAGTGGAATAAGAATTCTGAATCTAAGTCAGAAAGGAAATTAAAATAAGAACACATATGTAGTTCTACATTTAACGGGTCTGTTTATAGGGTAAAAAGGAAACAACTTCAAAAAATATATTATGATATTTTTCAAAATACCGTGAGTCTGACCTTCATCTTTTAAATTATTTCTTTTTACATTTGTTTGTAGAAAATATGTTTACATTTGTTTATTTATAGCAGGTCTAGAATTTCCAGTAATCGTGAAAATGCATTCAATATGGCTCAATAAAATCTTGCAAACTGCAGTGAAAAGACCCCATTTTGCAAGACTCAGTTATGACTCTCAGTCAACTTAGCACATATACCAACTCAACCTGACAGGGCTCCCCTCCCAAAAAAAGTTTACTATACTTCAGGTAGGAATGAATACAGTGAGTGAGTGGTACCGATTACTCATTGTGTTGATTCGGGAAAGGAAGGGGCTGGCAAATGTGACACTGCACATATGACACTCTCCATCCTGAAGGATCCTATTGTGTGCTTGCAGCTGTTGGTGGGAAGGAGAGGAGGGAAGCCAGAAGCACTGCGGCGGCAGGGGGAAATGTATTGTGCACAGGGAGGGTGATGGGTGTGGTGGTGGGGGAGTTACTTGACCAATCCCCTGTATGTTTCTCTCTGCAGCAGCTGCAAGCCATCGAAGGAGAGAAGAAGAAGCCAGCTTTCAGCTGCTGCAGAGAGAGCCATACAGGGGATCGGTTCCAGTAATTGCCTACCCACCATTCTGATCACCTTCCCTGCCCACATCTGAGTCACCCAGCTGCCTGGGCCCTCCTGCTGGCCTGGGCCTGGTACTACCTTATCCATGGTCCTGACTGTCACAATATTTGGTTGACATTACAGGAGGAAGTAAACAAACCTTCAGCACTCCAACTCACATCTTGATATCAGAACTGTATCAAAGTGATTCTTCATCAACCCCCCCAAAAAATTAAAAATCAGCAGCTACAAATACTGCAGCTACTAAATTTTAATCAAAGGACACTCACCCATCCAGGGATACAGCAATGTCCTCACCCTGGTTGGTTCTTCATTGGTTTCTCAGGTCCTGCTGTCAAAACTATGGGAAACTGTCTGTGACTCCTTTATAGCCGGCTTCCATCTGTGCATGCATGAGCCTTACTGTGCTGTGTGAATGGACCTGCAGCCTTCTGGGACTTGTGGGGGGTGGGAGGGGTGAAATTCTGCTTGGATTGCCTAGGTAATCCATGTGGACGTGGGAGCAGGTACCTGTCAAAGCCAGGCACCCCCCCCCCCCCAAAAAAAAAAGAACAGGCAAAAGTGGAAAGGGGGGAGCAGAAAAGCAAGACAAAGCCTTTTGGGTGAAGTTCTGCTTTAACATTTCCTTTACACTATGCACGTTTTTATGGAATAAGAAGATTATAGAATAATCATATGTTGATGTTTCTACCTTGTGTACAATATTACAGCCAAATTCCAGACACACAGCTAAATAAGCACATTGCATACATATTATTATTATTACATCGAGTTTATATAGTGCCAAAGGGTTTGCTCAGCGCTGTACAATGGGGGGGGGGGGGGCAATACATAAAACAGTACAGCAACAATAAACAGCACACGAGGGGTTAGAGGACATATAGAGAATTTGTTTTAACTGACAAAGAATTTGTATTTCTGTCCATTCAGTCCTAAGACTTAAACAGCCCTGTCACACAGCCAGGGCGGACTGACAACTCATGGAGCCCCCGGGCAATAGGGGATCATGGGGCCCCTGTGCCCTTGCCCAAACTAAAAAAAAACCTATGAAAAAGGTACCAGGGGCATCTCATAGGGCCCCCTACTGACCCCGGCCCTCGGGAAGTGCACGAGTTTCCAAATGGTCAGTCCGCCCCTGCACACAGCACATCCAGTGGATGATACCACTTATAGTTAAAGTGTATCAAAGACACCAAACAAAAATGTAATATATTGCTTGCCAGTCCTCCTGTGTGGTGGCTGCATTTGCTTTCTTTTTTTTATAGGCTGAGAACAGTTTCACGTACAGGAAATACCTGTAGATCTTGACAAACTGCAGTGTCCTTGTCACTTCTTGTGAGTTTAAAAGAAAACACAAATACAGAAAGTGCAAAAAGTCCAAACTATTTACTGAGTAGCAGTGGATATCTTTCTAATAAATCTGACCCTTGACATCTGATAGCAGTCAAGATACCTTGATTGATGGGCGATCCTTCTATTAATGGACAACAGTGGATTCTACCATTCTCTATGCGACACTCTTCAGCAAGAAGATTATTTCCAAGCCCAGTTCCTCCAGATATTCACTCTAGCAGACAACTAAAGTCCTCTGAACAAGTATCTCCAAGATTGGCTGGACTAGATAGATATTCACAACACAGTGATTGTCCTTTCTACATTGATTACTTGAGCCTTCTTCACAGTATCAGGCTGAGGAAATTGACCCGTTCTACTCAGGAAGACCTGCAGAGCCGAGAAAAGTAAACAGATGCTCAGGCTGGTTACAGCCTAAAAACAACACATTAAATTTTGCTAGGGACACTACGGCATAGGGAAGGGTTCATGTATTACTTTTTTATTTTTAGTTTAGATAGACTTTTAGGAGGGAAAGATGATGTCCTCTATTCACCACAAGAATACTCAATGGGCAGCAAAGGAGCAGCAGTAGACTGATGAGGCCATGCTCATGCTTTCTAATCTTATCAGCATGCTCCTTGTTGGCACAACTGATTGACTCCTTGTTCTGCCTCTTCCTCTCACACTCTGAGTCTCGCTTTACACAGATTACAAGAAGCCAATGTCAAGTCAAGTTCAGGTACTTAAAATAATTGTATTAAAAAATAATGATTTATTCATATATACTGGGTTGGTGTTCAGCTTAAACCTCACTCTGTTTGTTCATATATTTTCCATCACAAATGCCATGTGCATTCTACATCACATATACACATGTCCTAATAATGTCTTAATTACAAAAAGAGTTTTCTGATGTATCTGTCTTAGAAACTTTCCAGCATGTTGACGAGACTTCTGATACACTTAGAGCCTTTTCACATGGGCATTCCATTCATGTCTGCCTGTCAGTTTTTCAAGTGGATCTGGCTGGAAGCTCCATGCAGCCCTATGAACAGGTAGATGTAGATAGTTATGTGTCCATTTCCAACTGACGACCTCAATGTCTGTCCAGGTCTGCACCC